CCAAAGCTCTCAACCAATAGGCCAAGGAGAGTTGTGTTCTCTCTCTCACTTAACTGTTTTGAAGTGCCTAGATATCTGCCCTTAGTAAGCAAACTTGATGTTATTGAAGCTGTACTGAGACGATCTCCTAAAAAATTTACTAATTATTATTTAATTCAACAAGTCCTAGAAAGCTCACATATTGGATTAATTATTCTGTGATGACGACGAACGTCATTCGGAAACTAATCAGAATGCGCCATATCACTCCTTCGCTCGGTATTGTTTGATACTGCTTGATACCGTTAACATGATGCATTTTGATTGGTCTCCAAAAGTAGAGCTGTGTTCACATCCGTACAAAATAATTTTTCCACATATTGAGACAGCTTATGAAGTACAAATGATTATTTAAAGAAAAAAAGAATGAGAAATTTAGATAAAGAGAGAGGAAGCTGGATTTTTCATTGCTTTATAAATTTGAAAATAAAGAAACTGAATTTAAATTAATTAAGGAGTTAATTAAAAATTCCATTTACTGTTTAAAATAAATGCATAACGTAAATATATTTTTAAAATATACAAATAAATCCATATGGTATTTATTTAAAATATCTATAACCACAACATAAATGTTGATTATTCTCTCACAAGATTTTAATACATTAATTTGAAAGTTGTCGATTTTTTTATATCATTTTAAATTTTTGTTTTGGCCTTTTATAAGTATTTGAGGTCATTCTTTAGGTCTTTGGAGTAATTCTATTTTCATTTTAGTTAGGAAAAGCGTCATCTGAAAACTTTAAGAGCTGGTTCAAATTAAAGCTTCTTTTGAGATAACTTTTTTATTATTTTTTAAAACAGTTTTTTAGTACATAAATTAAATAAAATTTATTAAAAAATTATTTTAAAAAACAGTAAGAAATCCTTCCCAATCCCAAATGAAGCCCAAGTCAAATAGGTTCAAGTTTCTTAATAATTTACTTGGCTCATGGGGAAGTCAATAAATGTATTCGAACATACACATTCAAGATTTTAAGCTTGGTCATATAAACCGATAGTTTCAACCTTCAAGAAGAAAGCTACGAATTGTGATTGTACCACGTGTCAATCATATGCAAGCAATTGTGAAGATACTGCATATTATAGGCTGCATGTAACTAGATATTGATGAGGACATCTGTAGGAGATTTCGACACTTACCATCGGAGGAGTCGTGGAGCGACGGCTATGATTCATAGTCTCTACTTCTAATGTTTTATGTTATTCATGTTATTTATATTTTATGTTTTTCCATTTGTACCCCTATGAGGGAGTCGTTGTATGTTGTAGCCCGAGGGCAATTTCGTCTTTGATTGTTTTGTTTTAGAAGGCCTATATATGGAGGTCTAGTCATTGTATTTTGGGATGATGTTTTGATGAATGAAATTTTCTCTTTGATCTCTTTGTGAGTTTGTGAATTTTCCAAGATCTCTTTGTGAGTTCTTGAGGAAGTAGTGCTTGCGGATCTCTTTGTGAGTTCCATTGGAGAACTCAGCCACAAATTTTTATTTCTTTCTTCAACTAATGCTATATTTCAACCTCATTTATCTCTCTTCTAAATCTACACATTCAAAATATTTTCCGGAATTTTTCCCAAAGAAATTAAGAGTATCTAATTAGAAAAAAAAACATTAAATTTAAGATGCATCCCTTAACCCATCCAAAACTATAAATCTCCTCAAAAAATTTCACCTTTATCGAAGAAAGAAAATAAATTTCACTGATATGGAAGATATGATTTCAGGCCTTCTAGAAGAAATAGGCTTGGAGTGCCTTATTTGAGTCCCCCACCAAACCATCCCTCTTCTCTGACGAGTTTGCCGCCGATGGAAACAAGCAACTGAATCCCTCTTCTTTCACCACCTCCGTCGCTCTGTTGGTTCCTCCCACCATCTCATCATCTTCATAGAGGCCCACCGTGCAGCCAGATGCTCCCTCATGTTCTTTTCCTCCCACCCCTATTGTCGTCTTGCTGCCCTCAACCTATATAACGATGAGTGGGCTCCCCTCCCACCAATCCCTTTAGTCTCCCTCGGCCACCCCTTTTTCTTTCGTGTCATTGCCTCCGACCTCCACCTCGTCTTATTGGCAACTTGTATCGAGATTCCTTAAGTTGCAACGATAGCATCTACGTCTACAGCTTCCTCTTCAACACCTGGCTTCACGGCTGGTCCATGCCTGGCCCTACCTGCTTCTTATTTGCTTGTGCCGGAAGCCCAAGCAACCAAGTATTCATTGCTGGAGGCCATGATGAGCGGAAGAACGCCTTGAAATTGGCGATGGTTTATGATATTGCCAAAGATGACTGGACAATGCTGCCAGAGATGACGAGAGAGCGTGAGGACTACATGTTAGTGTTTGTAGCGGGACTGTTCCAAGTGGTTGGTGGTTCA